TCTCACAATTCCCAATTTTTCCCAATCCTCCCAACACCCCCAGTTCCTAAAATTCCCACAATTCCAGCTTCCCTCAATCCCACAATCCCCAGATTCCCACAATCCCCAAATTGCTCAATTTCCCTCAATCCCACAATCCCTAAACTTCCCAAATTCTCACAGTTCCCAGTTCTCACAATCCACATCATCCCTCAATTCCCCCAACTCCTAAAATTCCTAAATCCACCCAACTCCCTCAATTCCCACAATTCCCAAAATGCTCAACTTCCCTCAATCCCACAATCCCTAAAATTCCCAAATCATCACAACCCTTCAAATTTCCAACTCCCCCAAATTCCCCCAACTCCCTCCATTCCTAGAACTCCCACAATCCCATGATCTCCACAATTCCCAAAATCCCCACAATCCCCACAATCCCCACATTCCCCAATCCAAGTTCCCCAACTTCTCTTACTTTCACAATTCCCAAGTCCCCACAATCCCCCAAATTCCCCAATTTCCCCCAATCCCCAGAACTCCCCCAATCCCATGATCTCCACAATTCCCAAAATGCTCAGGTTCCCTCAATCCCACAATCCCTAAAATTCCCAAATTCTCACAATCACCAAATCCCCAAAATTCCCCACATTCCCCAATTTCCCTCAATCCCCCAATCCCCAAATTCCCCCAATCCCTCCAACTCCTAAAATTCCCACAATTCCTAAATCCCCACAACTCCTCCAATTCCCACAATTCCCAAAATGCTCAACTTCCCTCAATCCCACAATCCTTGAAATTCCCAAATTCCCAAATCCCCACAATTCCCCAACTTCCCTCAATCCCCAAATTTCCCAAATCCCCCAACTTCCCCCAATCTCACAATTCCCAAATTCCTCCAACTCCTACAATTCCCACAATTCCTAAATCCCCACAACTCCCTCAATTCCCAAAGTGCTCAACTTCCCTCAAATTCCCCACAATCCCCCAAATTCCCAATTCCCCTGGTTCCTACAATCCCCACAATCCCCAAAATTCCCCAACTTCCCTCAATCCCCAAATTTCCCAAACCCCCCAATTTCCCCGTATTTCACAATTCCCAACTTCCCACAATCCCACACTTCCCACAATTCACTCAATCCCCAAATTTCCTCAGTTCCCAAATTCCTCCCAAATCCCCCCAATCTCACAATTCCCAAATTCCTCCAACTCCTACAATTCCCGTAACTCCTAAATCCCCACAACCCCCTCAATTCCCAAAATGCTCAACTTCCCTCAAATTCCCCGATTCCCCTCAATCCCCACAATCCCCCAAATTCCCAACTCCCCCAGTTCCTACAATCCCCACAACCCCTAAATTCCCCCAAATCCCAACTTCTTCCCCAAATCCCCACAATTCCCCAACTTCCCTCGATCCCACACTTCCCACAATTCACTCAATCCCCAAATTTCCCAAATCCCCAAATTCCTCCCAAATCCCCCAATCTCACAATTCCCAAATTCCTCCAACTCCTACAATCCCCACAATTCCTAAATCCCCACAACCCCCTCAATTCCCAAAATGCTCAACTTCCCTCAAATTCCCCAATTCCCCACAATCCCCAAATTCCCCCAAATCCCCAACTTCTTCCCCCAATCTCACAATTCCCAAATCCCCCAACTTCCCCGAATTTCATAATTCCCAAATTCCCACAATCCTCCCAACTTCCCACAATCCCACACTTCCCACAATTCACTCAATCCCCGAATTTCCTCAGTTCCCAAATTCCTCCCAACTTCCCCCAATCTCACAATTCCCAAATTCCTCCAACTCCTAAATTCCCGTAACTCCTAAATCCCCACAACTCCCTCAATTCCCAAAGTGCTCAACCTCCCTCAAATTCCCCAACTTCTCTCAATCCCCACAATCCCCAAATTCCCAACTCCCCCAATTCCTACAATCCCCACAATCCCCAAATTCCCCAAAATCCCCAACTTCTTTCCCCCAATCTCACAATTCCCAAATCCCCCAAATTCCCCAACTTCCCTCAATCCCCAAATTTCCCAAATCCCCAAAATTCCCCAATTTCCCTCAATCCCCAAATTTCCCAAATCCTCCCAACTTCCCCCAATCTCACAATTCCCAAATTCCTCCAACTCCTAAAATTCCCGTAACTCCTAAATCCCCACAACTCCCTCAATTCCCAAAGTGCTCAACCTCCCTCAAATTCCCCAATTCCCCTCAATCCCCACAATCCCCAAATTCCCAACTCCCCTGGTTCCTACAATCCCCACAACCCCTAAATTCCCCAAAATCCCCAACTTCTTCCCCCAATTTCACAATCCCTGAAATTCCCAAATCCCCACAATCCCCCAACTTCCCTCAATCCCCAAATCCCCAAATCCCTCAACTTCCCCCAATCTCACAATTCCCAAATCCCCAAAATTCCCCAACTTCCCTCAATCCCCAAATCCCCAAAATCCCTCAACTTCCCCCAATCTCGCAATTCCCAAATTCCTCCAACTCCTAAATCCCAAATCCCTCAGTTCCCAAAATGCTCAACTTCCCTCAAATTCCTCAACTTCCCTCAATCCCACAGTTCCCAAAATCCCCACAATTCCCCAAATTCCCACAATCCTCCCAACTTCCCCCAATCCCCAAAATTCCCAAATCCCCAAATTCCTCCCAAATCCCCCAATCTCACAATTCCCAAATTCCTCCAACTCCTACAATTCCCACAATTCCTAAATCCCCACAACCCCCTCAATTCCCAAAATGCTCAACTTCCCTCAAATTCCCCAATTCCCCACAATCCCCAAATTCCCAACTCCCCCGGTTCCTACAATCCCCAAATTCCCCCAAATCTCCCCAAATTCCCCCAAATCCCCAACTTCTTCCCCCAATCTCACAATCCCCAAATCCCCCAAATTCCCCAAATTTCCCAAATCCCCCGAATTTCACAATTCCCAAATTCCCACAATCCTCTCATCTTCCCTCAATCCCCAAAATTCCCAAATCCCCAAATTCCTCCCAAATCCCCCAATCTCAGAATTCCCAAATTCCTCCAACTCCTACAATTCCCACAATTCCTAAATCCCCACAACCCCCTCAATTCCCAAAATGCTCAACTTCCCTCAAATTCCCCAATTCCCCACAATCCCCCAAATTCCCAACTCCCCCGGTTCCTACAATCCCCAAATTCCCCCAAATCCCCAACTTCTTCCCCCAATCTCACAATCCCCAAATCCCCCAAATTCCCCAAATTTCCCAAATCCCCCGAATTTCACAATTCCCAAATTCCCACAATCCTCTCATCTTCCCTCAATCCCCAAAATTCCCAAATCCCCAAATTCCTCCCAAATCCCCCAATCTCAGAATTCCCAAATTCCTCCAACTCCTACAATTCCCACAATTCCTAAATCCCCACAACCCCCTCAATTCCCAAAATGCTCAACTTCCCTCAAATTCCCCAATTCCCCACAATCCCCCAAATTCCCAACTCCCCCGGTTCCTACAATCCCCAAATTCCCCCAAATCCCCAACTTCTTCCCCCAATCTCACAATCCCCAAATCCCCCAAATTCCCCAAATTTCCCAAATCCCCCGAATTTCACAATTCCCAAATTCCCACAATCCTCTCATCTTCCCTCAATCCCCAAAATTCCCAAATCCCCAAATTCCTCCCAAATCCCCCAATCTCAGAATTCCAAATTCCTCCAACTCCTACAATTCCCACAATTCCTAAATCCCCACAACCCCCTCAATTCCCAAAATGCTCAACTTCCCTCAAATTCCCCAATTCCCCACAATCCCCCAAATTCCCAACTCCCCCGGTTCCTACAATCCCCAAATTCCCCCAAATCCCCAACTTCTTCCCCCAATCTCACAATCCCCAAAATTCCCCAACTTCCCTCAATCCCCAAATTTCCCAAACCCCCCAATTTCCCCGAATTTCACAATTCCCAACTTCCCACAATCCCACACTTCCCACAATTCACTCAATCCCCAAATTTCCTCAGTTCCCAAATTCCTCCCAAATCCCCCAATCTCACAATTCCCAAATTCCTCCAACTCCTAAAATTCCCATAACTCCTAAATCCCCACAACCCCCTCAATTCCCAAAATGCTCAACTTCCCTCAAATTCCCCAATTTCCCTCAATCCCCACAATCCCCAAATTCCCAACTCCCCTGGTTCCTACAATCCCCACAATCCCCAAATTCCCCCAAATCCCCAACTTCTTCCCCCAATCTCACAATTCCCAAATCCCCAAATTCCTCAACTTCCCCCAATCTTGCAATTCCCAAATTCCTCCAACTCTAAAATCCCAAATCCCTCAATTCCCAAAGTGCTCAACTTCCCTCAAATTCCCCAACTTCCCTCAATCCCACACTTCACTCAATCCCCAAAATTCCCAAATCCCCAAATTCCTCCCAAATCCCCCAATCTCACAATTCCCAAATTCCTCCAACTCCTACAATTCCCACAATTCCTAAATCCCCACAACTCCCTCAATTCCCCGATTCCCCTCAATCCCCACAATCCCCAAATTCCCAACTCCCCCGGTTCCTACAATCCCCACAATCCCCAAATTCCCCAAAATCCCCAACTTCTTCCCCAAATCCCCACAATTCCCCAACTTCCCTCGATCCCACACTTCCCACAATCCCCCCAATCCCCCCAATCCCCCCAATCCCCCATTTTTTTTTGGGATTCCCGTTGTTCCCACCTCGTCCTGCAGGGATTGGTGCCGGGGCTCGTGCCGGATGCGGAGCTGGTTCCCCTCCAGGCACATGGGGAAGCAGCCGTAGAACTTCACCATGGACTCCGCGGCCCTGCGGGGAATCTCCAGGAACGCCTGCAGAACGCGCCCACAATTCCCAAAAACCCTCCCAAAAATCCCCCCAAACATTCCCAAAAATCCCCCCAAATATCCCTAAAAATCCTCCCAAAAATCCCCCCAAACATTCCCAAAAACCCTCCCAAAAATCCCCCCCAACATTCCCAAAAATCCTCCCAAAAATCCCCCCAAACATTCCCCAAAAATCCCCCCAAAAATCCCAAAAATCCTCCCAAAAATCCCCCCAAACATTCCCCAAACCCTCCCAAAAATCCCCCCAAACATTCCCCAAACCCTCCCAAAAATCCCTCCAAACATTCCCAAAAACCCTCCCAAAAATCCCCCCAAACATTCCCCAAAATCCTCCCAAACATTCACCTAATATCCTCCCAAAAATCCCCCCAAACATTCCCAAAAATCTCCCCAAAAATCCCCCTAAACGTTCCCCAAAATCCTCCCAAAAATCCCCCCAAATATCCCTAAAAATCCTCCCAAAAATCCCCCCAAACATTCCCCAAAATCCTCCCAGAAATCCCCCCAAACATTCCCCAAAATCCTCCCAAAAATCCTCCCAAAAATCCCTAAAAATCCTCCCCAAAAATCCCCCAAGCACCCCCAAAATCCTCCCCAAAATCCCCCCAAATATCCCTAAAAATCCCCCCAAAAATCCCCCCAAACATTCCCCAAAATCCTCCCAAAAATCCCCCCAAACATTCCCCAAAATCCTCCCAAAAATCCCCCCAAACGTTCCCCAAAATCCTCCCAAAAATCCCCCCAAACATTCCCCTAAAAATCTTTAAAAATCCCCCAAATTCACAAAAAATTCCCTAAAAGTCCCCCCCGCAAAAATCCTTTAAAAATTCCCCCCCAAATTCCCAAAAAGATCCCAAGAAATACCCCCAAAATTCCTCCCAAAAAAACCCCTAAAATAATTCCTCCCAAAAAAACCTAAAAGAATTCTCCCAAAAAACCCTAAAAGAATTCCCCCCAAAATTCCAGAAAAATCCCCAAAATTTCCCTGAACATCCCTCAGAATCCCAAGAAATCCCCAAAAAAATCTCAAAAAAACTTTCCCAAATACCCCAAAAAATCCTACGAAACTTCCCCAAAAATCCTAAAAATATCCCCAGATACCTCAAAAACTAAAAAAAACTTTAAAAACCCCACAAAATTAAAAAAAAATTCCCAAGAAGCCTCCTAAGAAACCTCCAAAAATCCTAAAAAAAATCCGCCAAAAATTTTGAAAAAAAAACTCCCAAAAATTAAACAAATTCTCAAAACTTAAAAAATCCCCAAAATCATTAAACCCCAAAATCCCCAAAAAATCTTCCCAAAAGTTCTTAAAAACATCCCCAAAAATCCTCACAAAAAAATGATAAATTAAGAAAAAATCCCCAAACGTTTCTTTAAAATATCCCCAAAAATTCCCTAAAAAATCCCTAAAAATTCCCCAAAACCCCAAAATGCCCCCCAGATTCCCATTTTTCTCCCAAGAGCTGTCCCTTGTCCCAGAATTCCCGGGAATTACCTTTTTGTGGGATGAGAGGATGAGCAGGTCCCGCAGGCCCCCAAAGGGCTTGGCCAGGTTGGAGATTTCCTCTGGGCAGTAACCCCGGGCTGGGAGGTTGGACACCAGCAGCACGCAGCAGGGATCGGGATCGGGGTCATCCTGTGGGGTCAGGGATTACAGATCCTAAATCCTGATCCTGATCCTAAATCCCAAATCCTGATCCTAAATCCTGATCCCAATCCCCATCCCAATGCCGGCAGGTTGGACACCAGCAGCACGCAGCAGGGATCGGGGTCAGCGGGGTCCTGTGGGGTCAGGGGATTACAGATCCTAAATCCTGATCCTAAATCCTGATCCTAAATCCTGATCCCAAATCCTGATCCTAAATCCTGATCCTAAATCCCAAATCCTGATCCTAAATCCCAAATCCTGATCCCAAACCCCATCCCAATGCCGGCAGGTTGGACAGCAGCAGCACGCAGCAGGGATCGGGATCGGGGTCATCATCCTGTGGGGGAATGAGGGAATTCCTGATCCTAAATCCTGATCCCAATCCAAAATCCTGATCCTAAATCCTGATCCCAATCCCGGCAGGTTGGACAGCAGCAGCACACAGCAGGGATCGGGGTCAGTGTCCTGTGGGGTCAGGGGGTTACAGATCCTAAATCCTGATCCTAAATCCCAAATCCTGATCCTAAATCCTGATCCTAAATCCCAGTCCTGATCCCAAACCCCATCCCAATCCCGGCAGGTTGGACACCAGCAGCACGCAGCAGGGATCGGGATCGGGGTCATCCTGTGGGGTCAGGGAATTACAGATCCTAAATCCTGATCCTAAATCCCAAATCCTGATCCCAAATCCTGATCCCAATCCCCATCCCAATGCCGGCAGGTTGGACACCAGCAGCACGCAGCAGGGATCGGGTCATCCTGTGGGGTCAGGGGATTCCTGATCCCAATCCTAAATCCCCATTCTGATCCTAAATCCCAGTCCTGATCCCAAACCCCATCCCAAACCCCATCCCAATGCCGGCAGGTTGGACACCAGCAGCACACAGCAGGGATCGGGATCGGGGTCATCCTGTGGGGTCAGGGGATTACAGATCCTAAATCCCAGTCTGATCCCAATCCTGATCCAAATCCTGATCCCAAATCCTGATCCCAAACCCCATCCCGATCCCGGCAGGTTGGACACCAGCAGCACACAGCACTGCTCGGGATTGGGGTCATCCTGTGGGGTCAGGGAATTACAGATCCTAAATCCTGATCCTGATCCTAAATCCCCATCCTGATCCTAAATCCTGATCCCAAATCCTGATCCTAAATCCTGATCCCAAATCCTGATCCTGATCCAAACCCATCCTGATCCCGGCAGGTTGGACAGCAGCAGCACGCAGCAGGGATCGGGATCAGGGTCATCCTGTGGGGTCAGGGAATTCCTGATCCTAAATCCTGATCCTGATCCTAAATCCCAGTCCTCATCCCAATCCTGATCCCAAACCCCATCCCGATCCCGGCAGGTTGGACACCAGCAGCACACAGCACTGCTCAGGACCGTCATCCTCCTGTGGGGTCAGGGGATTCCTGATCCCAATCCCACAGCTCCTGTTCCCATCCCAATCCTGATCCTGATCCCACGGCCCAGAGCTCCCGTTCCCATCCCAAAGGGAATCCCCATCCCATCCCGATCCCCATCCCCATCCCAATCCCAATCCTGATCCCAATCCCAATAGGTTGGACACCAGCAGTGTGCAGCACTCAAGGTCATCCTGTGGGCTCAGGGAATTCCAGCCCCATCCTGATCCCAATCCCCATCCCAATCCCACAGCCCACAGCTCCTGCTCCCATCCCAAAGGGAATCTCGACCCCAATCCCGATCCCAGAGCTCCCATTCCATCCCAAAGGGAATTTAAATCCCAATCCCAATCCAGAGCTCCCATTCCCATCCCAAAGGGAATTTAAATCCCAATCCAATCCCAGAGCTCACTGCCTCCCATCCCAAAGGGAATTTCAGTCCCAGTCCCAGAGCTTCCTGTTCCCACTGTTCCCATCCCAAAGGAATTCCCAATCCCAATCAGAGATCTCGTTCCCATCCCAAAGGGAATTCCAATCCCAATCCAAATCCCAATCCAAATCCACACTTTGCTGTTCCCATCCCAAAGGAAATTCCATCCCAATCCCAGAGCTCCTGTTCCCATCCCAATGGGAATTTCAATCCCGATCCCGATCCCAGAGCTCACTGTTCCCATCTCAAAGGGAATTCCAATCCTAATCCCAATGCAAATCCCAAAGTTTGCTGTTCCCATCCCAAAGGGAATTTCAAACCCAATCCCAGAGCTCAGTGTTCCCATCCAAAGGGAATTTCAAACCCAATCCAGAGCTCAGTGTTCCCATCCCAAAGGGAATTTCAGTCCTGTTCCTATTCCAAAGGGAATCCCAATCCCAATCCCAATCCCAGAGCTTGGTGTTCCCATCCCAAAGGGAATTTCAGTCCTGTTCCTATTCCAAAGGGAATCCCAATCCCAATCCCAATCCCAGAGCTTGGTGTTCCCATCCCAAAGGGAATTTCAGTCCTGTTCCTATTCCAAAGGGAATCCCAATCCCAATCCCAATCCCAGAGCTCAGTGTTCCCATCCCAAAGGGGATTTCAGTCCTGTTCCTATTCCGAAGGGAATCCTAATCCCAATCCCAATCCCAGAGCTCAGTGTTCCCATCCCAAAGGGAATTTCAGTCTGTTCCTATTCCGAAGGGAATCCCAATCCCAAATCCCGATCCCAGAGCTCAGTGTTCCCATCCAAAGGGAATTTCAGTCCTGTTCCTATTCTGAAGGGAATCCCAATCCCAATCCCGATCCAGAGCTCGGTGTTCCCATCCCAAAGGGAGGTTCTGGGGTTTGGGATTGGGATGGGAACGGAGCCAAGGCCAAAGGGGTTGGAGGTTGGGAATGCTGGGAATCATTGGGAAAGCAGGGAAATTCCCAGCGTTCCCACAATTCCCAACGTTCCCAAGTTCCCACAATTCCCTCATTCTCCCAAATCCCCACAATCCCACAATTCCCTAAAATCCCCCAAATCCCAAACCCCGCTGACCTTCCCGCCGGGGTCCGTGGGTTCCTCGCTCACCGCAGGCTCTGGAAAGGGGGAAAAGGAGCAGAGCTCAACCCTCCAGAATTCCCAAATTCCCTTTTAATCCCCTTTTCCCCATTGCATTTCCCCCAACCCCCCCAAAATCCCGGAATGACCCCCAAATGGGGAATTCCAGGAATTCCCTGGGATTACCTGGCCCTGCCTCTGCCGTGGGCTCCTCTGCTCCTTCTGGCCCTGGGGAGCTTTTGGGATCGGGATTGTTGGGATTGGGGTGGTTGGGATTGGGGTTTTTGGATCGTTGGGATCAGGGTTGTTGGATCGGGGTTTTTGGGATTGGATTGTTGGGATCGGGGTTTTTGGGATCCGAGGGCTCGGATCCGGGATTTCCAGCCCGGCCCCGGGATCGTCCCCGGGCTCCTTCCCTGCAGGGAGGAACAGCAGCACAGGGGGTTTGGGCACGGCTCCATCCCCCTTTGCCCCATTTCCCTACATTTTACCCCATTTCCCCTTTCCCATTTCCCAAATTTCACTTCCTCGCTTTCCAGTTTTTCCCCATTTCCTCCCATTTTCCCCAAGATTTTTCCCATTTTTCTCCATCTTCTCAAGAGTTTTTCCATTTTCTTTTCCCATTTTCCCAAATTTTTTCCCCATTTCCCTCCAGATTTTCCCCCCAGATTTTCTTCCTGTTTCCCTAATTTTCCCCATTTCCCTCCATCTTCTCAAGGGTTTTTCCATTTTCTTTTCCCATTTTCCCAAATTTTTTCCCCATTTCCTCCCATTTTCCTCCAAGATTTTTCCCCATTTCACCAATTTTTTCCCCTTTTTCTCATTTTTTCCCCATTTTCCCCATCTTCCCAAGGGTTTTTCCATTTTTTTTCCCACTTTCCCCAAATTTCACTTTCTCATTTTCCCAAGATTTTCTCCCCCATTTCCTCCCATTTTACCCCAAGATTTTCCCCATTTTTCTCCATCTTCCCAAGGGTTTTTCCATTTTCTTTTCCCGTTTTCCCAATTTTCCCATTTCCTCCCATTTTCCTCCAAGATTTTTTCCCCATTTCACCAATTTTTTCCCTTTTTTCTCATTTTTCCCCATTTTTCCCCCTCTTCCCAAGGGTTTTTCCATTTTCTTTTCCCATTTTCCCAAATTTCACTTTCACATTTTCCCAAATTTCTTCCCCATTTCCTCCCATTTTTCCCCCAAGATTTTCCCCATTTCCCCCCATCTTCTCAAGACTTTTTCCATTTTCTTTTCCCATTTTCCCAATTTTTCCCCATTTCCTCCCATTTTCCCCAAGATTTTTTTCCCCATTTCACCAAATTTTCCCCTTTTTCCCCATTTTTCCCCATCTTCCCAAGGTTTTTCTTCCATTTCCTTTTCCCATTTTCCCAAATTTCACTTTCTCATTTTCCCAAATTTTTTCCCCATTTCCTCCCATTTTCACCCAATTTTTTCTCCTCATTTCCCCAATTTTTCCCAATCTTCTCAAGGGTTTTCCCATTTTCTTTTCCCATTTCCCCCCTTTTTTCCCCCATTTCTGAGTTTCCTTGCCCCAAACTTTGGTTTCCCATTTCCCTGAGATTTTTTTGCCATTTTTCCCCATTTTTTCACCATTTCCCCAAGGGTTTTTCCAATTTTTTTCCCATTTTCCCCAAATTTCACTTTCTCATTTTCCCAATTTTTCCCCATTTCCTCCCATTTTCCCCCCGAGATTTTCCCCATTTTCCTCCATTTTTCTCCATCTTCTCAAGAGTTTTTTCCATTTTCTTTTCCCATTTTCCCATTTTCCCCATTTCCTCCCATTTTCCCCCAAGATTTTTTTCCCCATTTTGCCAAATTTTCCCCTTTTTCCCCATTTTTCCCCATCTTCCCAAGGATTTTCTTCCATTTCCTTTTCCCATTTTCCCAAATTTCACTTTCTCATTTTCCCAAGTTTTTCCCCATTTCCTCCCATTTTTCCCCCATTTTGCCAAATTTTCCCCTTTTTCCCCATTTTTTCCCATCTTCTCAAGGGTTTTTCCATTTTCTTTTCCCATTTTCCCCAAATTTCACTTTCTCATTTTCCCAAATTTTTTCCCCATTTCCTCCCATTTTTCCCCCAATTTTTTTTCCTCATTTCCCCAATTTTCCACCATCTTCTCAAGAGTTTTTCCATTTTCTTTTCCCATTTTCCCAAATTTTTTCCCCATTTCCTCCCATTTTCCCCCAAGATTTTTTCCCCATTTCTCAAATTTTTCCCTTTTTCTCAATTTTTCCCCATTTCCCCCCCTCTTCCCAAGGGTTTTCTTCCATTTTCTTTTCCCATTCCCCCAAATTTCACTTTCTCATTTTCCCAAATTTTTCCCCATTTCCTCCCATTTTTCCCCCAAATTTTTTTCCTCATTTCCCCAATTTTTCCCAATTTTTCCCAATCTTCTCAAGGGTTTTTCCATTTCCTTTTCCCATTTCCCCCCTTTTTTCCCCCATTTCTGAGTTTCCTCACCCCAAACTTTGGTTTCCCATTTCCCTGAGATTTTTTGCCATTTTCCCCATTTTTTTCACCATTCTCTAAAGTTTTTTCCCCATTTTCTCAATTTTTTTCCATTTTCTTTTCCCATTTTCCCAGATTTCACTTTCTCATTTTCCCAATTTTTTCCCCCAAGACTTTTTTTTTCCCCTCAAGTTTTTTCCCCATTTTCCAGAGCTTTTTTCCCCATTTCCCCTGAGCTTTTTTCTTCTATTTTCTCTTCCCTTTTTCCCATTTCCCAAGTTTTTTCCCTATTTCCCCAAATTTTTCCCCATTTCCTTCCCATTTTCCCAAGGTTCTTTCCCCCATTTTTCCCCATTTTCCAAGGGATTTTTTTCCATTTTTTTCCCAATTTTTCCCCAAGATTTTTTCCCATTTTCCCAAATTTCACTTTCTTGCTTTCCCAATTTTTTCCCCCAAGTTTTTTCCCCATTTTCCAGAGCTTTTTTCCCCATTTCCCCTGAGCTTTTTTCTTCTATTTTCTCTTCCATTTTTCCCAAGTTTTTTCCCTATTTCCCCAAATTTTTCCCCATTTCCTTCCCATTTCCCAAGGTTCTTTCCCCCATTTCTTCCCCATTTTCCAAGGGATTTTATTCCATTTTTTTCCCAATTTTCCCCAAGATTTTTTCCCATTTTCCCAAATTTCACTTTCTCATTTTCCCAATTTTTTCCCCATTTCCCCACATTTTTCCCCCAAGATTTTTTCCCCATTTTTTCCCCATTTCTTCCCCATTTCCCAAGGGATTTTTTTCCCATTTTTCCCAATTTTTCCCCCATTTTTCCCCCTCACCTCCCACATTCGAGGTTTTCTTCACTTTCTTCTCTCCCACCGTTTTCTTCACTTTTTCCTTTTTCCCTACAAAAAAATCCCCAAAAACCCCAGAATTCCCAATTCCCATCAGCGATTCCTTCCCAAGGGAACAAATTCCCAAAAATTCCAAAGAATTCCAGGGATAGGAGCAAAAAAAAAAAAAAAGGATTTGGGGGGGGGAAAAAATCAGGATTTTTTAGGGTAAAAATCCCAAAATTTCAATGAAATCCAGGGCAATTTATGGAAAAAAATGGGAATTTTTGGGGGGAAAATCTGGATTTTTTGGGGTAAAAGAAACCCAAAATTTGAATTCATTCTGTGGGATTTTGGAGGCAAAACGTCCCAAAATTTCAATGAAATCCAGGCAAAATTTTGGGGGAAAAAAAAAAAAGGAGATTTTAGGAGCAAATGTGGATTTGAGGTGAAAAAAGTGGATTTTAGAAGGATTTGGATTTAGGGATGGAAAAATAATTTTGGGGAGAAAAAGGAAGGATTAAAAAAAAAATAAATAAAATAAAATAAAATTGGGATCCTGGGGGAGAAATTCAGATTTTTTTAGGGTAAATAATCCCAAAATTGGAATTAATTCTGCAATTTTAATTAATCCCAAAAGCGAGTCAGGAATGGATGAAAATCAGGAATTTGGAACCCAGGAATTTCCTATTAATAAAATTAAAATGAATTCAGCCAATTCATTAATGAATGAATTAATTGAGTAATCACTCATTAAGAATTCATTAATAAATAAACGAGCTCAGGAATGAAAAGAAATGAATTATTTGGCACCCAATAATTTCCTATTAAAAGCCAATGAAATGAAAATTAATTAAGGCAATTCATTTATTAATTAAGCCGATCAATGCACAATGAATTATTAATTAATTGTAAATTAATTATTAATTAATTAATGAAGATCGGCCTCACCTGTCAGGACTTTGGGGCTCTTGGTGTTGGTGCTCGGGACCTTCCTGGGAGGATAAAATGGACCCAAAAAAATCAATTTAATTAATAATTATTAATTATGAAGCCCCAATTAAAGGTCAGAGTTTGAGCCCCTGGGTTCCCAATTAACGTAATTAACATCCATGCATTAATGAGGCTCTTACTTGGTGCTTGTTGGGGTTTTTTTGGGGTTCAGGACTCGTTTTTTCACCGGTTTTTTGGCCTGGAATGGGAAAAAAATGGAGATTTATTAATGATTGATATTAATGATAAATGGGATTCTGAACTTTAATTAATTACTGCTAATTAAGTAGTAGTTAATGTAATATTAATAAGTAGTAATTGATTATTAATATAATTAATTTAATTAATTATTTATTAATGTTTTTATTTTTAAAATTTATTTTTAAATGTTTAAAATTTTATTTTTATTTTTAATTATTTGTATTTATTAATATTAATATTAATATTAAGGTATAAAAGTAGTAATTAATAAAATACTAATATAATTATTTTTATTAATTAATTATGTATTCATATATTTATTTTTAATTTTTTAAATTTATTTTAAATTTCTTTTTATTTTTAATTATTTATATTTATTAATATTAATATTAATAAGGTATAAAAGTAGTAATCAATAAAATACGAATATAATTATTTTTATTAATTAATTATTTATTCATATATTTATTTTTAATTTTTTTAATTTATTTTAAATTTCTTTTTATTTTTAATTATTTATATTTATTAATATGAATATTAATAAGGTATAAAAGCAGTAATTAATAAAATACTAATATAATTATTTTGATTAATTCATTATTTATTCATATATTTATTTTTAATTTTTAAAATTTATTTTAAATTTCTTTTTATTTTTAATTATTTATATTTATTAATATGAATATTAATAAGGTATAAAAGTAGTAATTAATAAAATATTACTTCTGTCCGTTGTTCATTAAAATTTCACTCAGATTTTATTCATAAATGTGCAGATTTATATATGAATATATTAAATAGATTAATAGTTACTAATAATTAAGTATATTAATTAATTTTGACTAAGTTAATGTAATTTTTATTTAATTAAAAATATGTATATGGAACCATAAATGCATTAATAATAATTAATCCTTAAGGGTAAGATGTAATTAATATTAATTTAATTATCAATAACTGACATTACATGTAAATAGGATGCTTAATTTCAGCTCATTAATGCTAATTAAGCAGTTATAAACTATGAATTCTGTCCATCATTAATTAACATTTCAGCAAGACTTTATTAACAATTGTGTGAATTTTAGATATAAACATATAAAATGGACAAATAATTAACAATTAACCACATTAATTAATTTTAAATTAATTCATTTCATTTTTATTAAAAACCGTGTGCAGGGATACAGAAATCAACACAAATAAAGTTATAAAATAAAATGTTAATTATCATTAGTGCTTAAGTGTAGGAATTAATTAATAGCTCTGGCTGGAATTCCCAGCTGGAATTCCCACTCCAAATTCCTGCCTGGCATTCCCTGTCAGAATTCCCAATCCCAGCCAGAATTCCTGCCTGGAATTCCCAGTTAAGAATTCCCAAATCCCAGCCAGAATTCCTGCCTGGAATTCCCAGTTAAGAATTCTCTCTCCCAGTCAAAATTCCTGGCTGGAATTCCCAGTCCCAGTCAGAATTCCCAGTGGGAATTCCCAGTTGGAATTCCCAGCCCTGGTCAGAATTCCCTCTCCCAGTAGGAATTCCCAGTGGGAATTCCCAGTCCCAACAGGAATTCCCATTGGAATTCTCAGTAGGAATTCCTGGCTGGAATTCTCACTCCCAGTAGGAATTCCCAGTTGGAATTGCCACTCCCAGTCAGAATTCCTGATGGAATTCCCAGCTGGAATTCCCTCTCCTGGTCGCTGTCAGAATTCCCTCTCCCTGCTGCAATTCCTGGTCAGAATTCCCGGTCCCAGTTGGAATTCCCATTGGAATTCCCAGTAGGAATTCCCAGTTGGAATTCCCAGTCCCAATAGGGACTCCTGGTTAGAATTCCCTCTCCCAGTCAGAATTTCCACTCCCATTGGAACTCCTGCTCCCATCAGAATTCCCAGTCCCAGTGGCAATTCCCATTCCCAGAATTCCCATTCCCAGTCAGAATTCCCATTTCCAGTGGCCATTCCCAGTGGCCATTCCCATTGGAATTCCCATTCCCAGTGGCTATTCCCAATGGCCATTCCCATTCCCATTATTCCCATTGGCATTCTTGTCATTCCCATTCCCAGTCCCGTTCCCATTCCCATTCTTCCCATTCCCATTATTCCCATTCCCATTCCCATCATTCCCACTGGCATTCCCACCATTCCCATCATTCCCACTGGCCATTCCCATTCCCATCATTCCCACCATTCCCACCATTCCCGCTGGCACTCATTCCCACCATTCCCATCATTCCCATCATTCCCACCTGCATTCCCACTGGCATTCCAGTTATTCCCATTGCCATTCCCATTGCCATTCCCATCATTCCCACCATTCCCGCTGGCACTCATTCCCGCTGGCATTCCTATCATTCCCATTATTCCCACTGGCATTCCAGTTATTCCCACTGCCATTCCCACTGGCGTTCCCATCATTCCCGCTGCCATTCCCACTGGCATTCCCATTGCCATTCCTGCTGGCATTCCCATCATTCCCACTGGCATTCCAGTTGTTCCCACTGCCATTCCCGCTGGCATTCCCATCATTCCCGCTGCCGTTCCCATTCCCACTGCCATTCCCACTGGCGTTCCCATCATTCCCATTATTCCCACTGGCATTCCCACTGCCATTCCCGCTGGTGTTCCCACTGCCATTCCCACTGGCATGTGTTCCCATTCTCATCATTCCCGCTGCCGTTGTCATTCCCATTCCCATTGCCGTTCCCACTGCCATTCCCATTCCCATTCCCATCATTCCCATCGTTCCCATTCCCATTTCCATTCCCGTTCCCAGTGCCATTCCCATTCCCATCATTCCCACTGCCGTTCCCATTCCCATTCCCATCATTCCCATCATTCCCATCATTCCCATTCCCATTCCCATCATTCCCATCGTTCCCATTCCCACTGCCATTCCCATTCCCATCATTCCCATTGCCGTTCCCGCTGCCATTCCCATTCCCATCATTCCCATCGTTCCCATCATTCCCGTTGTTCCCATCATTCCCGTCATTCCCGTCATTCCCATCATTCCCATCATTCCCATCATTCCCGTCGTTCCCATCATTCCCGTCATTCCCATTGCCGTCCCCACCTGCGCTCTCTCGGCCACGCTGATCCGCACGCGTTTCCCGTTGAGCAGCACCGGCGCCGTCTCCCCAAACTTGACCGCGGCCATCACGGCCTCCTTGTAGTTCATCTCCAGGTAGGCCTGCAACGCACAGCGCTCAGGGAATTCCAGGGAATTCCAGGGATTCCAGGGATTCCCGGGATTGCCGGGGCTAGGAGGGGGCTCTGAGGGAATCGGGGTCCCAGGGAGGTGAGGGAGGGGAAACCCAGCCGGGATTGGGAATGGCAGGGGGAATGCAAGGGTGAGGGGAAAGGGGAAAGGAAAGAAAGGGAAGGGAATAAGGAGGAAAAGGGAAAGGGAAAGGGGAAAAAGGGGAGGGAAAGGAGAGGGGAAAAGGGGAAAAAGGGAGAACAAAAGGAAAAAAGGGAGAAAGGGAAAAAGAGAGAAAAGGAAAAAGGGAGAAAGGGAAAAAGGGAGAAAAGGGAGAAAAGGGAGAAAAGGGAGAAAAGGGAAAAAGGAAAGAAGGAGGAAAAGGGAAGGGGGAAAGAGGAAAAAGGGGGAGGGAAAGAAGAAGGAAAAAAGGGGGAAAAGGAGGAAAAAGGAAAACAAAAGGGAGAACAAAAGGAAAAAAGGGAGAAAGGAAAGAAGGGGAAGGGAATAAGGAGGAAAAGGGAAAGGGGAAAGGGGGAAAAGGGGAGGGAAAGGAGAGGGAAAAAGGGGGAAAAAGGGGGAACAAAGGGAGAACAAAAGGAAAACAAAAGGGAGAAAGGGAAAAAGAGAGAAAAGGGAAAAAGGGAGAAAAGGGAAAAAGGGAGAAAAGGGAAAAAGGGAGAAAAGGGAAAAAGGGAGAAAAGGGAAAAAGGGAGAAAAGGGAAAAAGGGAGAAAAGGGAAAAAGGGAGAAAAGGGAAAAAGGGAGAAAAGGGAAAAAGGGAGAAAAGGGAAAAAGGAAAGAAGGGGAAGGAAATAAGGAGGAAAAGGGAAAGGGGAAAGGGGAAAAAGGGGGAGGGAAAGGAGAGGGAAAAGGGGGAAAAAGGGGGAAAAAGGAAAACAAAAGGGAGAAAGGGAAAAAGGGAGAAAAGGGAAAAAGGAAAGAAGGAGGAAAAGGGAAGGGGGAAAGAGGAAAAAGGGGGAGGGAAAGGAGAGGAAAAAAGGGGGAAAGGGGTAAAAAGGAAAACAAAAGGGAGAACAAAAGGAAAAAGGGGGAAAGGAAAGAAGGGGAAGGGAATAAGGAGGAAAAGGGAAAGGGGAAAGGGGGAAAAGGGGAGGGAAAGGAGAGGGAAAAAGGGGGAACAAAGGGAGAACAAAAGGAAAAAAGGGAGAAAGGGAAAAAGGGAGAAAAAGGAAAAAGGGGGAAAAGGAAAAAGGGAGAAAAGGGAAAAAGGGGGGAAGGGGAAAAAGGAAAGAAGGGGAAGGAAATAAGGAGGGAAAGGGAAAGGGGAAAGGGGAAAAAGGGGGAGGGAAAGGAGAGGGAAAAAGGGGGAAAAAGGAAAACAAAAGGAAAAAAGGGAGAAAGGGAAAAAGGGAGAAAAGGGAAAAAGGGAGAAAAGAGAAAAAGGGAGAAAAGAGAAAAAGGGAAAAAGGGAGAAAGGGAGAAAGGGAAAAAGGGGGGAAGGGGAAAAAGGAAAGAAGGGGAAGGGAATAAGGAGGAAAAGGGAAAGGGGAAAGGGGAAAAAGGGGGAGGGAAAGGAGAGGGAAAAAGGGGGAAAAAGGAGAACAAAAGGAAAAAAGGGAGAAAGGGAAAAAGGGAGAAAAGGGAAAAAGGGGGGAAGGAGAAAAAGGAAATAAGGAGGAAAAGGGAAGGGGAAAGCAGAAAAAGGAGAGGGAAAAAGGGGAAAAAGGAGGAAAAAGGAAAACAAAAGGGAGAACAAAAGGAAAAAGGGGGAAGGGAAAGGGAAGGGCAAAAAGGGTGAAAAGGAGAAAAGAGGGAAAAAAGGGGGGAAAAAGGGGGAGGGAAAAGGGGGAAAGGAGAGAAAGGGAAAAGGGAAAATGGGATAAAAAGGAAAAGAAAGGGAGAACAAAAGGGGAGGAAGGGAAAAAGGAAAGGAAGGGAAAAGGCAAAGAAGGGAAAGAAGGGAAGACAAAAGAGGGAAGGGGAATACAGGGGGAAAAGGGAAAAGGGAAATGAAAAGAAGGGAGAAAAGGGAAAAAGGGGAAAAGGGAAGGGGGAGAAAGGGAAAGGGAGGAAAAAGAAGGGAAAAAGGAAAATAAAGGAGAACAAAGGGAAACAAGGGGAAAAGGGAAAAGGGAAAAAAGGAAGGGGGGAAAAGGGGAGAATGGGAAAAGGGAAAGGAAGAGGAAAATAAAGGGGGAAAAGGGGAATAAAATGGAGGGATAAGGGGGAGATAAGGGGGAGAAAAAGGGGAAAAGGGAAGGAGAGAAAGGGAAAAGGAAGGGAAAATGGGAAAAAAGCGAAATAAAGGGAGAAGAAAGGGAAAAAAGGGGGGAGGAAGGGGAAAAAGGAAAGGAAGGGAAAGAAGGGAAAGGGAATACAGAGGAAAAGGGGAAGGGAAAAAGGAGACATTAAAAGAAGGGAGAAGAGGGAAAAAGGGAAGGGGAGAAAGGGAAAAGGAAGGGAAAGGGAGGAAAAAGAAGGGGGAAAAGGAAAATCAAGGGAGAACAAAGGGAAACAAGGGGGAAGGGGAAAAGGGAAGGGGGGAAAACGGGAGAAAAACTGGAGGAAAAGGGGAGAATGGGAAAAGGGAAAGGAACAGGAAAATAAAGGGGGAAAAGGGGGGGAAAAGGGGAATAAAAGGGGGAGATAAGGGGGAGAAGGAGGGGAAAAGGGAAGGAGAGAAAGGGAAAAGGAAGGGAAAATGGGGAAAAAAGGAAAATAAAGGGAGAACAAAGGGAAACAAGGGGGAAGGGGAAAAGGGAAAAAAGGGAAGGGGGGAAAACGGGAGAAAAACTGGAGGAAAAGGGAAGGGGAGAATGGGAAAAGGGAAAGGAAGAGGAAAATAAAAATGGGAAAAGGGAGGGAAAAGGGGAATAAAAGGGGGAATAAAAGGGAGGGATAAGGGGGAGATAAGGGGGAGAAAAAGGGGAAAAAGGAAGGGAAAATGGGAAATAAGGAAAATAAAGGGAGAACAAAGGAAAAAAAGGGGGGAGGAAGGGGAAAAAGGAAAGGAAGGGAAAAGGCAAAGAAGGGAAAGGGAATACAGAGGAAAAGGGGAAAGGGAAAAAGGAGATTAAAAGAAGGGAGAAAAAGGAAAAAGGGAAGAAGAGAAAGGGGAAAGGAAGGGAAAGGGAGGAAAAAGAAGGGGGAAAAGGAAAATCAAGGGAGAACAAAGGGAAACAAGGGGGAAGGGGAAAAGGGAAGGGGGGAAAACGGGAGAAAACTGGAGGAAAAGGGGAGAATGGGAAAAGGGAAAGGAACAGGAAAATAAAGGGGGAAAAGGGAGGGAAAAGGGGAATAAAATGGGGAGATAAGGGGGAGAAAGAGGGGAAAAGGGAAGGAGAGAAAGGGAAAAGGAAGGGAAAATGGAAAAAAAGGAAAATCAAGGGAGAACAAAGGGAAACAAGGGGGAAGGGGAAAAGGGAAAAGGGAAAAAAGGGAAGGGGGGAAAACGGGAGAAAAACTGGAGGAAGAGGGAAGGGGAGAATGGGAAAAGGGAAAGGAAGAGGAAAATAAAAATGGGAAAAGGGGGGGAAAAGGGGAATAAAAGGGGGAATAAAAGGGAGGGATAAGGGGGAGATAAGGGGGAGAAAGAGGGGAAAAGGGAGGGAAAATGGGAAATAAGGAAAATAAAGGGAGAAGAAAGGGAAAAAAGGGGGGAGGAAGGGGAAAAAGGAAAGGAAGGGAAAAGGCAAAGAAGGGAAAGGGAATACAGAGGAAAAAAGGAAAGGGAGAAAGGATTAAAAGAAGGAAGAAAAGGCAAAAAGGGAAGAAGAGAAAGGGAAAAGGAAGGGAAAGGGAGGAAAAAGAAGAGGAAAAAGGAAAATAAAGGGAGAACAAAGGGAAACAGGGGGGATGGGGAAAAGGGAAAAAAGGGAAGGGGGAAAATGGGAGAAAAACTGGAGGAAAAGGGGAGAATGGGAAAAGGGAAACAAGAGGAAAATAAAGGGGGAAAAGGGGGGAAAAGGGGAATAAAAGGGGAGGGATAAGGGGGAGAAAAAGGGGAAAAAGGAAGGGAAAATGGGAAATAAGGAAAATAAAGGGAGAACAAAGGGAAACAAGGGGGGAGGAAGGGGAAAAAGGAAAGGAAGGGAAAAGGCAAAGAAGGGAAAGGGAATACAGAGGAAAAGGGGAAAGGGAGAAAGGATTAAAAGAAGGGAGAAAAGGGAAAAAGGGAAGAAGAGAAAGGGGAAAGGAAGGGAAAGGGAGGAAAAAGAAGGGGAAAAAGGAAAATCAAGGGAGAACAACGGGAAACAAGGGAAAAGGGAAAAAGGGAAGGGGGGGAAAATGGGAGAAAAATTGGAGGAAAAGGGGAGAATGGGAAAAGGGAAAGGAACAGGAAAATAAAGGGGGAAAAGGGAGGGAAAGGGGAATAAAAGGGGGAGATAAGGGGGAGAAAAAGGGGAAAAGGGAAGGAGAGAAAGGGAAAAGGAAGGGAAAATGGGAAAAAAATGGAAAATCAAGGGAGAACAAAGGGAAAGGGGGGGAAGGGGAAAAGGGAAAAAAGGGAAGGGGGGAAAATGGGAGAAAAATTGGAGGAAAAGGGAAGGGGGAGAATGGGAAAAGGGAAAGGAAGAGGAAAATAAAAATGGGAAAAGGGGGGAAAAGGGGAATAAAAGGGGGAATAAAAGGCAGGGATAAGGGGGAGAAAAAGGGGAAAAAGGAAGGAGAGAAAGGGAAAGGAAGGGAAAATGGGAAATAAGGAAAATAAAGGGAGAACAAAGGGAAAAAAGGGGGGAGGAAGAGGAAAAGGAAAGGAAAGGAAAAGGCAAAGACGGGAAAGAAGGGAAAGGGAATACAGAGGAAAAGGGGAAAGGGAAAAAGCATTAAAAGAAGGGAGAAAAGGGAAAAAGGGGGGAAAAGGAAGAGGAAAAAGGAAAATCAAGGGAGAACAAAGGGAAACAAGGGGGAAGGGAAAAGGGAAAAAAGGGAAAAAGGGAAGGGGGGGAAAACGGGAGAAAAACTGGAGGAAAAGGGAAGGGGAGAATGGGAAAAGGGAAGGGGAGAAACAGGGAAAGAAGGGAGGAAAGGAAAATAAAGGGGGAAAAAGATGGGGGAAAGGGGGGAAGGGGAAAAAGAGGAGAAAAAGGGAGAAAAAAGAGAATGGGAGGGGGGAAAACCAGGGGAAAAACAAACAGGGCAAAAGGGGGGAAATGGGAGGGAAAAAGGGAAGGGAAGAGAATCCCCCATGGATAAAATCCCAGAACTGCGAGCGGGAAGGGCCCGGAGCCTCCCAAGGGCAGCCCGTCCCAGCCGGGCCCTGTGGGGTCGGGATTGGGGTCGGGATTGGGGTCGGAATTGGGGTCGGATTTGGGGTCGGGAATTGGGGTCGGAATTGGGGTCGGGATTGGGGTCGGGATTGGGGTCGGGATTGGGGTCGGGAATTGGGGTCGGGATTGGGGTCGGATTTGGGGTCGGGATTTGGGGTCGGGATTGGGGTCGGGAATTGGGGTCGGGATTGGGGTCGGGAATTGGGGTCGGGAATTGGGGTCGGGATTGGGGTCGGGATTGGGGTCGGGAATTAGGGTCGGGAATTGGGGTCGGGAATTGGGGTCGGAATTGGGGTCGGGAATTGGGGTCGGGAATTGGGGTCGGGAATTGGGGTCGGGAATTGGGGTCGGGATTGGGGTCGGATTTGGGGTCGGAATTGGGGTCGGGAATTGGGGTCGGATTTGGGGTCAGGATTGGGGTCAGGATTGGGGTCGGGATTGGGGTCAGGATTGGGGTCGGGATTGGGGTCGGATTTGGGGTCAGATTTGGGGTCGGGATTGGGGTCGGAATTGGGGTCGGGAATTGGGGTCGGATTTGGGGTCGGGAATTGGGGTTGGATTTGGGGTCGGGAACTGGGGTCGGGAATTGGGGTCGGATTTGGGGTCAGGATTTGGGGTCGGGATTGGGGTCGGGAATTGGGGTCGGAATTGGGGTCGGGAATTGGGGTCAGATTTGGGGTCGGGATTGGGGTCGGGATTGGGGTCGGGATTGGGGTCGGGATTGGGGTCGGGAATTGGGGTCGGGATTGGGGTCAGGAATTGGGGTCGGGATTGGGGGCGGGAATTGGGGTCAGGATTGGGGTCGGGATTGGGGTCGGGATTGGGGTCGGGATTGGGGTCGGGATTGGGGTCAGGAATTGGGGTCGGGATTGGGGTCGGGATTGGGGTCGGGAATTGGGGTTGGATTTGGGGTCGGATTTGGGGTCGGATTTGGGGTCGGATTTGGGGTCGGATTTGGGGTCGGATTTGGGGTCGGGAATTGGGGTCGGAATTGGGGTTGGGAATTGGGGTCGGGATTGGGGTCAGGAATTGGGGTCGGCATTGGGGTCGGGAATTGGGGTCGGGAATTGGGGTCGGGATTGGGGTCAGATTTGGGGTTGGAATTGGGGTCGGAATTGGGGTCGGATTTGGGGTCGGGAATTGGGGTCGGGATTGGGGTCAGATTTGGGGTCGGAATTGGGGTCGGGAATTGGGGGTCGGGATTTGGGGTCGGATTTGGGGTCGAAATTGGGGTCGGGAATTGGGGTCGGAATTGGGGTCGGGATTTGGGGTCAGATTTGGGGTCAGATTTGGGGTCAGATTTGGGGTCAGATTTGCCCTTTTGGGACCGACCTCGTTGCGGGAGCGCAGCACGATGAGGTCGCTGACCTTCCCGAAGGGCTGCACCAATTTCTTGATGTCCTGGTCGGAAAATCCCGAATCCGGCAGATCCGAGATCTGCAGCACCGTCCCACAGCTCAGCAGCTCCTCCCGCAGCAGCTGCAAACACACCGGGAGAATTCCCAAAAATCCCAAAATTCCAACGGCTCCGGCACCAGGAACGGCCAGGGCAGGAGGGGATGGGGCTGGGGAATAAACGGGGAGGGGATTCCAGGATTTTGGGGGATTGGAGGCCAGGGAAAGGTGGGATCGGAGCCACCTGGAATTGGATTGGAATTGTTGGGATTGTGGAGTTAATCTTGATGGAATTCCAGAATTCCAGGAATTTTCCATCCAAGGAAAGGTTGGGTTGCAGCCACCTCGGATTGGATTGGATTGGAAGGTTGGGATTGTGGAGTTAATCTTGATGGAATTCCAGGATTTCACAAAATTCCAGGAATTTTTCATCCCTGGAATTGTCCAATGAAAAATTGGATTGGAATTATTGGAATTGTGGAATAAATGTTGATGGAATTCCAAAATTCCAGGAACTTTCCATCCCTGGAAGTGTCCAAGGAAAGGCTGGATTGGAATTGTTGGAATTGTTGGAATAAATGTGGATGGAACTCCAGAATTCCAGGAATTTCTCATTCCAAGGAAAGGTTGGATTGCAGCCACCTTGGATTGGATTGGAAGGTTGGGATTGTGGAATAAATCCTGATGGAATTCCAGAATTCCAGGAATTTTCCATCCCTGGAAAGGTTGGCTTGGAGCTATCTGGGATGGTGGGAATTGTGGAATAAATCTTGATGGAATTCCAGGAATTTTCCATCCAAGGAAAGACTGAACCTTGGAATGGATTGGAATTTTTGGAATTGTGGAAAAAATCTTGATGGAATTCCAGAATTTCACAAAATTCCAGGATTTTTTTATCCCTGGAAGTGTCCAAGGAAAGGCTGGATTGGAATTGTTGGGATTGTGGAGTAAATCTTGATGGAATTCCAGAATTCCAGGAATTTTCCATCCCTGGAAAGGCTGGATTGGAGCCATCTGGAATTGTGAAATAAATCTTGATGGAATTCCAGAATTTCACAAAATTCCAGGAATTTTTCATCCCTGGAAGTGTCCAAGGAAAGGCTGGATTGGAGCCACCTCGGATTGGATTGGAATTGTTGGGATTGTGGAATAAATCTTGATGGAGTTCCAGAATTCCATGAATTTTCCATCCCTGGAAAGGTTGGCTTGGAGCCACCTGGGATGGTGGGAATTGTGGAGTTAATCTTGATGGAATTCCAGGATTTCACAAAATTCCAGGATTTATTCATCCCTGGAGGTGTCCAAGGAAAGGCTGGATTGGAATTGTTGGAATTGTGGAATAAATCTTGATGGAAATCCAAAATTCCAGAAACTTTTCATCCAAGGAAAGGTTGAATTGGAGCCACCTTGGACTGGAATTGTTGGAATTCTGGAAAAAATCTTGATGGAATTCCAGGATTTCGGGAATTTTTCATTCCAAGGAAAGGTTGGGTTGGAGCCACCTTGGATTGGATTGGAATTGTTGGAAGCATGGAATAAATCTTGATGGAATTCCAGAATTCCAGGAATTTTCCATCCCTGGAAAGGTTGGATTGGAATTGTTGGAATTGTGGAAAAAATCTTGATGGAATTCCAGAATTCCAGAGAATTCCAGGATTTTTTCATCCCTGGAGGTGTCCAAGAAAAGGTTGGATTGGAATTGTTGGGATTATGGAATAAATCTTGATGGAATTCCACAGAATTCCGGGATTTTTTCATCCCTGGAGGTGTCCAAGGAAAGGTTGGCTTGGAGCCACCAGGGATGGTGGGAATTGAGGAATAAATCTTGATGGAATTCTAGAATTCCAGGAATTTTCCATCCCTGGAAGTGTCCAAGGAAATGCTGGATTGGAATTGTTGGAATTGTTGGAATTGTGGAATGAATCTTGATGGAATTCCAGAGAATCCCAGGATTTTTTCATCCCTGGCAGTGCCCAAGGAAAGGCTGGATTGGAGCCATCTGGGATTGTTGGGATTGTGGAGTTAATCTTGATGGAATTCCAGAATTTCACAAAATTCCAGGATTTCTTCATCCCTGGAGGTGTCCAAGGAAAGGCTGGATTGGAATTGTTGGAATTATGGAATAAATGTTGATGGAATTCCAGAATTCCATGAATTTTCCATCCAAGGAAAGGTTGGATTGGAGCCACCTTGGATTGGAAGGTTGGGATTGTGGAGTAAATCTTGATGGAATTCCAGAATTCCAGGAATTTTCCATCCCTGGAAAGGTTGGCTTGGAGCCATCTGGGATGGTGGGAATTGTGGAATAAATGTTGATGGAATTCCAGGAATTTTCCATCCAAGGAAAGATTGAACCTTGGAATGGATTGGAATTGTTGGAATTGTGGAAAAAATCTTGATGGAATTCCAGAATTCCAGGAATTTTCCATCCCTGGAATTGTCCAATGAATGGCTGGATTGGAATTGTTGGGATTGTGGAATAAATCTTGATGGAATTCCAGAATTTCACAAAATTCCAGGATTTATTCATCCCTGAAAGTGTCCAAGGAAAGGTTGGATTGGAGCCACCTGGGATGGTGGGAATTGAGGAATAAATCTTGATGGAATTCCAGAATTCCATGAGTTTTTCATTCCAACGAAAGGTTGGATTGGAGACACCTTGGATTGGATTGGAATTGTTGGAATTGTGGAATAAATCTTGATGGAATTCCAGGATTTTTTCATCCCTGGAGGTGTCCAAGGAAAGGCTGGATTGGAATTGTTGGAATTATGGAATAAATCTTGATGGAATTCCACAGAATTCCAGGATTTTTTCATCCCTGGAGGTGTCCAAGGAAAGGTTGGCTTGGAGCCACCAGGGATGGTGGGAATTGAGGAATAAATGTTGATGGAATTCCAGAATTCCACGAATTTTCATCACTGGAATTGTCCAATGAAAGGCTGGATTGGAATTATTGGAATTGTGGAATAAATGTTGATGGAATTCCAGAATTTCACAAAATTCCAGGATTTTTTCATCCCTGGAAGTGTCCAAGGAAAGGTTGGATTGGAATTGTTGGAATTGTGGAATAAATCTTGATGGAATTCCAAGAATTCCATGAGTTTTTCATTCCAAGGAAAGGTTGGCTTGGAGCCACCTCAGATTGGATTGGAATTGTTGGAATCATGGAATAAATCTCGATGGAATTCCAGAATTCCAGGAATTTTCATCCCTGGAAAGGCTGGATTGGAGCCATCTGGGATTGTGGAATAAATCTTGATGGAATTCCAGAATTTTGGGAATTTTTCATTCCAAGGAAAGGTTGGATTGGAGCCAGCAGGGATGGTGGGAATTGTGGAATAAATGTTGATGGAATTCCAGGAATTCCAGGAATTTTCATCACTGGTATTGTCCAAGGAAAGGCTGGATTGGAATTATTGGAATTCTTGGAATTGTGGAATAAATCTTGATGGAATTCTGGAATTCCAGAGAATTCCAGGACTTTTTCATCCCTGGAAGTGTCCAAGGAAAGGTTGGATTGGAGCCACCTTGGATTGGATTGGAAGGTTGGGATTGAGGGAATTGTGGAATAAATCTTAATGGAATTCCAGAATTCCATGAATTTTCCATCCCTGGAAAGGTTGGCTTGGAGCCACCTGGGATTGGATTGGAATTTTTGGAATCGTGGAGTAAATCTTGATGGAATTCCAGAATTCCAGGATTTTTTTATCCCTGGAAGTGTCCAAGGAAAGGCTGGATTGGAATTGTTGGAATTGTGGAATAAATCATGATGGAATTCCAAGAATTCCATGAGTTTTTCATTCCAAGGAAAGGTTGGATTGGAGCCACCTTGGACTGGAATTGTTGGAATCATGGAATAAATCCTGATGGAATTCCAGGATTTTTTCATCCCTGGAGGTCTCCAAGGAAAGGCTGGATTGGAACTGTTGGGATTGTGGAGTAAATCTTGATGGAATTCCAGAATTCCATGGATTTTCCATCCAAGGAAAGGTTGGATTGGAGCCACCTTGGAATGGATTAGAATTGTTGGAATTGTGGAATAAATCATGATGGAATTCCAGAATTTCACAAAATTCCAGGATTTATTCATCCCTGAAAGTGTCCAAGGAAAGGTTGGATTGGAATTGTTGGAATTGTGGAGTAAATCTCGATGGAATTCCAGGATTTTGGGAATTTTCCATCCCTGGAAAGGTTGGCTTGGAGCCACCTGGGATTGCATTGGAATTGTTGGAATTGTGGAGTAAATCTTGATGGAATTCCAAAGAATTCCAGGATTTTTTCATCCCTGGCAGTGCCCAAGGAAAGGTTGGATTGGAGCCACCAGAGATGGTGGGAATTGAAGAATAAATGTTGATGGAATTCCAGAATTCCAGGAATTTTCCATCCCTGGAAGTGTCCAAGGAAATGCTGGATTGGAATTATTGGAATTGTTGGAATTGTGGAATAAATCTTGATGGAATTCCAGGAATTCCAGGAATTTTCCATCCCTGGAAAGGCTGGATTGGAGCCATCTGGGATGGTGGGAATTGTGGAATAAATCTTGATGAAATTCCAGGAATTTTCCATCCAAGGAAAGATTGAACCTTGGAATGGATTGGAATTGTTGGAATTGTGGAAAAAATCTTGATGGAATTCCAGAATTCCAGGAATTTTCCATCCCTGGAAAGGCTGGATTGGAGCCATCTGGAATTGTGAAATAAATCTTGATGGAATTCCAGGATTTCACAAAATTCCAGGATTTTTTCATCCCTGGAAGTGTCCAAGGAAAGGCTGGATTGGAATTACTGGAATTGTGGAATAAATGTTGATGGAATTCCAAGAATTCCATGAGTTTTTCATTCCAAGGAAAGGTTGGCTTAGAGCCACCTCAGATTGGATTGGAATTGTTGGAATCATGGAATAAATCTTGATGGAATTCCAGAATTCCAGGAATTTTCATCCCTGGAAAGGCTGGATTGGAGCCATCTGGGATTGTGGAATAAATCTTGATGGAATTCCAGGATTTTGGGAATTTTTCATTCCAAGGAAAGGTTGGATTGGAATTGTTGGAATTGTGGAATAAATCTTGATGGAATTCCAAAATTCCAGGAACTTTCCATCCAAGGAAAGGTTGGATTGGAGCCACCTTGGATTGGAAGGTTGGGATTGCGGAATAAATCTTGATGGAATTCCGGAATTCCACAGAATTCCGGGATTTTTTCATCCCTGGAGGTGTCCAAGGGAAGGTTGGATTGGAATTGTTGGAATTATGGAATAAATCTTGATGGAATTCCAGAATTCCAGGAATTTTTCATCCCTGGATTGGAGCCACCTGGGATTGTGGAATAAATGTTGATGGAATTCCAGAATTCCAGGAATTCTCATGCCTGGAAGTGTCCAAGGAAAGGCTGGATTGGAATTGTTGGAATTATGGAATAAATGTTGATGGAATTCCGGAATTCCAAGGAAAGGTTGGGATGGGATTGTGGGAATCATGGAATAAATCATCCCCAAATCCCTCCCCATACAGAATTCCAGAATTCCCAACCTCCATCCTGGCAGGAATTCTCCCACAGAACAACCTCCCTGAAGTCCAACCCCAACACCAAACCCCAGGAATTCCCAAAAATCCACAAACCCCAGGAATTCCCAAAAATCCACAGGAATTGACCCAAAACCCCAGGAATTGCCCCAAATCCACAAGCCACAGGAATTGCCCCAAAACCCAGGAATCCCCAAACCCCAAAAATCCCCCAAACCCCAGGAATTCCCCCAAACTCCAGGAATTCCCAAACTCCAGGAATTCCCAAATCCCAGGAATTGCTCCAAACCTCCAAAGCCCTGGAATTGCTCCAAACCCCCCAAACCCCAGGAATTCCCAAACCCCAGAAATTCCCAAAAACCACATAACCCCAGAAATGCCCCAAACTCCCAAAATTCCCCCAAAACTCCCCAAACCCCAGGAACTTCCCCAAACCCCAGGAATTGCTCCAAACCTCCAAACGCCAGGAATCCCCCAAAAGCCCCAAACCCTAGGAATTCCCAAATACCCCACAAACCCAGAAATGCCCCAAATCCCAGAAATTGCTCTGAACCTCCAAGCCCCAGGAATTCCCCAAACCCCCCAAACCCCAGGAATCCCCAAATATCCCCCAAACCCCAGGAATTGCCCCAAACCCAGAAATCCCTCAAACCCCAGAAATGCCCCAAACCCCAGGAATCCCAAATCCCAGGAATCCCCCAAACCCCCCAAACCCCAGGAATCCCCAAATATTCTCCAAACCCCAGGAATTGCCCCAAACCCAGAAATCCCTCAAATGCCAGGAATCCCCCAAAACCCCAGGAATCCCAAACCCTAGGAATGCCCCAAGCCCCAGGAATCCCCCAAAAGCCCCAAACCCTAGGAACCCCCAAATATCCCCCAAACCCCCGGAATGCTCCAAACCCCAGGAATCCCCCAAAACCCCCAAACTCCAGGAATCCCCAAATAGCCTCCAAACCCCAGGAATCCCCCAAACCTCAGGAATTGCTCCAAACCCCCCAAAACCCAGGAATCCCCCAAAACCCCTAAACCCCAAATATCCCCCAAACCTCAGGAATTCCCCCAAACCCCAGAAGTGCCCCAAATTCCCCAAACCCCCGGAATCCCCCAAATCCCAGGAATCCCCTGAAACCCCAGGAATCCCCCAAATCCCAGGAATCCCCCAAAACCCCAGAAGTGCCCCAAACCCCAGGAATCCCAAACCCCAGGAATCCCAAACCCCCGGAATCCCCCAAACCCCAGAAGTGCCCCAAACCCCAGGAATCCCAAACCCTCGGAATCCCCCAAACCCCAGGAATGCCTCAAACCCCAGGAATCCCCCAAATCCCAGGAATCCCCTGAAACCCCAGAAGTGCCCCAAATCCCCCAAAGCCCAGGAATCCCAAAGCCCAGGAGTCCCCTAAACTCCTGGAATCCCCCAAAACCCCCAATTCCCTGGAATCCCAAACCCCAGGAATGCCCCAAACCCCAGGAATGCCCAAATATTCCCCAAACCCCAGAAATCCCCCAAGCCCCTGGAATCCCCCAAATCCCAGGAATCCCCCAAACCCCAAATATCCCCCAAATCCCAGGAATCTCCCAAATCCCAGGAATCCCCCGAAACCCCAAATATCCCCCAAACCCCAGGAATCCCAAACCCCAGGAATCCCCCAAACCCCAAAACCCCCAAACCCCTGGAATCCCCCAAACCCCAGGAATCCCCAGGAATCCCAAACCCCAAATATCCCCCAAACCCCAGGAATCCCCCAAACCCCAAAACCCCCAAACCCCAGGAATCCCCCAAACCCCAAAACCCCCAAACCCCAGGAATCCCCCAAACCCCAGGAATGCCTCAAACCCCAGGAATGCCCCAAACCCTGAAATCCCAAACCCCAGGAATCCCCCAAAGCCCAGGAATCCCAAATATCCCCCAAACCCCAGGAATGCCCCACATCCCCGGAATCCGCACACCCACCCTGTTGTAGGGCTGGCTCTTCCCCGCTGCCTCCTCCTCCTCCTCCTGCTGCTCCTCCTCCTCCTCCCGGTCTCTTTTTGGGGTGGGCCCCGGGGTTTCGGGGTCCCCGTCCTTGCGGGGCCCTTTGGGGCCGGGCCGTGAGGGTTTCCTGGGGACGCCGTGGGCTCTGCCCAGCGACTCCTGCAGGGATTTGTGCCTCTGGAACTCGGCCAGGAAACCCGGGCCCAGCGTGCGCATGACGGCCTCCAGAGCGGCTCGGCGGGCTGGGGAAAGGAGAGGGGTTGGTGGGGGAAAAATGGGGGAAAATGGGGGGAAATGGGGGAAATGGGGGAAAAATGGGGGAAATGGGGGAAAAATGGGGGGGAAATGGGGGGAAATGGGGGAAAAATGGGGGAAAATGGGGGGAAATGGGGGGAAAATGGGGGAAATGGGAGAGGGGTTGGTGGGGGAAATGGGGATTTGGGATTGATGGGGGAATGGGGGAATGGGGGAAATGGGAGAGGGGTTGGTGGGGGAAAATGGGGGGAAAATGGGGAAAATGGGGGAAAAATGGGGGAAAAATGGGGGAAAGGGAGAGGGGTTGGTGGGGGAAAATGGGGATTTGGGATTGATGGGGGAAATGGGGGGAATGGGGGAATGGGGGAAAATGGGGAAATGGGGGAAAATGGGAGAAAAATTGGGGAAAAATGGGGGGGAAATGGGGGGGAAATGGGGATTGATGGGGGAAATGGGGGAAATGGGAGAGGGGTTGGTGGGGGAAAATGGGGAAATGGGGATTGGGGAAATGGGGATTTGGGGGGGAATGGGGAAAATGGGGGAAACAAGAGAGGGATTGGTGGGGGAAAAATTGGGGGAAAATGGGGGAAATGGGGATTGGGGATTGGTGGGGGAAAATGGGGGAAAAATGGGGGAAACGGGAGAGGGATTGGTGGGGGAAAATGGGGAAAATGGGGGGAAAATGGGGGGAAAATGGGGGGAAATGGGGGAAAAATGGGGGAAAAATGGGGGGAAAATGGGGGGAAAATGGGGGGGTAATGGGGGAAAAATGGGGGGAAAATGGGAGGGAAAATGGGGGAAAATGGGGATTGGGGGAAATGGGGGAAAGGAGAGGGGTTGGTGGGGGAAATGGGGGAAATGGGGGGAAAATGGGGGGGAAATGGGGGAAAATGGGGGAAAATGGGGGAAAATGGGGGAAAGGGGAGAGGGATTGGTGGGGGAAAATGGGGAAATGGGGATTGGGGGGGGAACGGGGATTGATGGGGATTGGTGGGGGGAATGGGGGGAAAATGGGGATTTGGGGGGAATGGGGATTTGGGGATTGATGGGGGAAAAATGGGGATTTGGGGGAAAATGGGGATTGGGGGAAATGGGGAATGGGGGAAAATGGGGATTTGGGGGAAAATGGAGGAAAAATGGGGATTGATGGGGATTTGGGGATTGATGGGGAAATGGGGGAAAATGGGGATTGATGGGGGAATGGGGAAAATGGGGATTTGGGGATTGATGGGGGAAGTGGGGATTGGGGATGGATGGGGGAAATGGGGGAAAAATGGGAATTTGGGGGAAATGGGGATTGATGGGGGAAAATGGGGATTGGGGGGAGAAATGGGGGAAAATAAGGATTTGGAGGAATGGGGATTTGGGGGGAATGGGGGGAAAATGGGGATTGATGGGGGAAATGGGGATTTGGGGAAAATGGGGACTTTGGGGGAAATGGGGATTTGGGGATTGATGGGGAATTACAGGAATGGGGAATTGGGGGAAATGGGGATTTGGGGATTGATGGGGGAAATGGGGATTTGGGGGAAATGGGGATTGAGGGATTGATGGGGATTTGGGGGAAATGGGGAATTACAGGAATGGGGAATTGGGGGAAATGGGGATTTTGGGGGGAAATGGGGACTGATGGGAAAATGGGGATTTGGGGGAAATGGGGTTTGATGGGGATTTGGGGGAAATGGGGATTTTGGGGGAATGGGGATTTGGGGGAAAAATGGGGATTGATGGGGATTGATGGGGATTGGGGGGAAATGGGGATTTTGGGGGAAGAAATGGGGATTTTTTGGGAAAAAATGGGAATTTTGGGGATGTTTTGGGAATTTTGGTAAAAAATTGGGGATCTTGGGGGAAAATATGGGAATCTTGGGGGGAAAATGGGAATTTTGGGGAAGAAATGGGAATTTGGGGGATTTTTTTGGACAATAATTGGAATTATTTGGGATTTATTTTGTGAAAGAATGGGAATTTTGGGGGGGAAATGGGAAATTTTGGGGATTTTTGGGGATTTTGGGAAAAATGGGGATTTTTGGGTAAAAATGGGAATTTTGGGGGGATCTTTTTGACAAAAATGGGAATTTAGGGGATTTATTTTCTGAGAAAATGGGAATTTTTAGGGAATTTTTTGGGAATTTGAGAAAAATGGAAACTTTTGGGGATTTTTTTTGGAAAAAAAAGAATTTTAAGGGAACTTTTTTGGGAATTTTGGAAAAAAATGGGAATTTTTTTGGGGGGGAAAACAGGAATTTTGGGAAAATGGGAATTTTGGGGGATTTTTTGGGGGAAATTTTGGAAAAAATGGGGATTTTTGTGGGAATTTTGGGAAAAATGCGACGTTTTGGGGATTTTTTTGATTTTGGGGGGAAAAAAACAGGATTTAAAAAAAATTTCTAGGGAAAAAAAGAGAATTTTTGGGGATTTTTTTGGGATGAAAATGGCAATTATTTGGGATTTTTTTTAATTTTTGAGGATTTTTTTTTATTTTGGGGAAAAAAACCAGGAATTTCTTGTGAATTTTTTTTTTTGGCATTTCTTTTGGAATTTGGGAAAAAATGGGAACCTTTCAAAACAATTTTGAATTTTTTTCGGAATATTTTGGGAACAAAATGGGAATTTTTTGGGAATTTTTGGGAAATTTCTTTTGGAAGTTTTGGGGATTTTTTTTTGGGGGGGGGAAGGGATTTTCAATTTTTTTTTTAATTTATATTTTTGGGAAAAATGGCAATTTTGGGGAATTTTTGAGGGATTTTTTTGGAATTTCTTCGGATTTTGGGAAAAAAACCCAGGAATTTGTTGGGATTTTTTTTTTTTTTTGGTAGGGGGGGTATTTTTGGGAATCAAATGGGAATTTTGGGGGAATTTTTTTGGATTTCTTTTTTTTTTAATTTTTATTTTTTAATTTTTTTTTTAATTCTTTGGGAATTCTCTGGGAATTCTCTGGGAATTTCCTGGGAATTCTTTGGGAGCCTGCTCCTCTCTGAGCCCGCAGTACTTACGAGCTCGGAGCCTTCCTGCGCTGCTCGGGGCTGCTTTAATTAGTCCTTAATTAGTCCTTAATTAGTCCTTAATTAGTCCTTAATTAATGCCCGGCTGCTGCGAGGCTGCGGAGAACCCACAGGTCGGTTATTGGCTGGAGCATTCCCAAGGATTTGAATTTATCCCTAAAATAAAATCCTGGGAATCCCAAAATTCCCTTTGGGGGTGGGAAAAAAAACCCCAAACTTTGGGAATCCCATTGGGAATTCCATTGAACGTTCCCAAAATTCCAAATCAGGGGTGAAAATTTGGGAATTCCACTGAGCAATCCCAAAATTCCCATTGAGCATTCCCAAAATTCCAAATCAGGGGTGAGAATTTGGGAATCCCACTGAGCAATCCCAAAATTCCCATTGAGCATTCCCAAAGTTCCAGTTAGGGGGGAAAATTTGGGAATCCCACTGAGCAATCCCAAAATTCCCATTGGGTTTAAAAAGATTTTGGGAATCCCATTGAGCATTCCCAAAATTCCAAATCAGGGGTGAGAATTCGGGAATCCCACTGAGCAATCCCAAAGTTCCCACTGGGGATCTAAAAATCATCGTGAATCCCAGTGAATTCCCAAAATTCCAACAGGAGGTGAAGAAAATCATTGGGAATCCCATTGAGAATTCCCAAAATTCTGACTGGGGATGAAAAAATCATCGGGAATCTCACTGAGCATTCCCAAAATTCCCATCGGGAATCCCATTGAGCATTCCCAAAATTCCAATTAGGGGTGAAAATTTGAGAATCCCATTGAATTCCCAAAATTCCCTTTGGGGGAGGAGGATAAATTTTGGGAACCCCAGTGAATTCCCAAAATTCCCATTGGGAGGGTGAAGAAAACATCGTGAATCCCACAGAGCATTCCCAAAATTCCCATTGGGAGCCCCACTAAACATTCCCAAAATTCCAACTAAGGATTAAAAAAAAAATCATCGGGAATCCCACGGAGCATTCCCAAAATTCCAATTAGGGGTGAAAATCTTGGAATTCCACTGAATTCCTAAAATTCCCATTGGGGGGTGAAGAAAACTTCGTGAATCCCATAGAATTCCCAAAATTCCCATTGGGAGTGAAAAAACAACAGGAATTCCACTGAGCATTCCCAAAATTCCCATCAGGAATCCCACTGAGAATTCCCAAAATTTTGATCAGGCAGGAAAAACCCTCAGGAATCCCAGTGAATTCCCAAAATTCCAACCGGAGATGAAGAAAACTTTGGGAATTTTTGCCGTGAATTCCCAAAATTCCCTTTGTGGGGTGTGAAGAAAACTTCATGAACCCCACAGAATCCCCAAAATTCCCATTTGGGGTGAAGAAAACTTCATGAACCCCACAGAAATCCCAAAATTCCCTTTGCGGGAGGATAAACTTTGCGAACCCCACAGAATTCCCAAAATCCCCTTTGGGAGAGTGAAGAGAACTTTACAAATCCCACAAATTGTGAATCCCATAGAATTCCCAAAATTCCCATTGTGGGAGGATAAACTTTGGGAATCGCTGTGAATCCCCAAAATTCCCCTTTGTGGGAGTCAAGAAAACTCTGGGATCCCCACAGAATTCCCAAAAATCCCTTTGGGAGAGTGAAGAAAACTTTGGGAACCCCACAAATCGCAAACCCCACAGAATTCCCAAAATTCCCTTTGTGGGCAGTGAAGAAAACTTCGGGAACCCCAGAGAATCCCCAAAATCCCCATTGTGTGAATGAAGAAAACTTCGGGAACCCCACAGAATTTCCCGGATCCCCTTTGTGTGAGTGAAGAGAACTTGGCGAATCCCACAAATCCCCGGGAATTCCCGGCTCCCCTCGGCGCGATCCCCGCCCCGGATCCCCGCCATCCCCGGGATCCCCGGGATCCCCGCCATCCCCGCGATCCCCGCCCCGGATCCCCGCCATCCCCGCCATCCCCGGGATCCCCGCCCCGCCATCCCCGGGATCCCCGCCCCGCCATCCCCGCCATCCCCG